AAGTAAATATAGATTTTTTCAGGCATATGATAATTAAAAGAAAGAATGTCCCATAGGTCCCAGGTAAAAGAATTATTAAGGAATGAAATCATAATGGAAATTTTAAAAATTTGGAACTGAACAACAAAATCACAACATATCTGAACGATAGTAACAATAATGGCTATGATGTGTTGCTTCCAACTTTGTTCCAGGAACTACATTAGAAATTTCCCAAGTAGTGTATCTCTAAGCCCTCAAAATCAGGAAATGAATTAGGTATTAATAACTCCTTTGTAAGGATGAGAAGGCTTTCTGGTAGAACAAGATAATCTTGTTGTTATGGACTGTTTGTGTCCCCCCCAAATTCATATGTTGAAGCCCTAATCCCCAGTACAATGGGATTAGAGGCGGGGCCTTTGAAGGATAGTTAGGTTTAGATGAATTCATGAGGCTGGAGCCCCAGTAATGGGAATAACCCTTATCAGAGGAGGAAGAGACACCATGCCTCCTCTCTCTGTCATGTAAGGGTGTAGTTGAAGGCAGCCATCTGCAAACCACGAAGACAGCTCTCACCAGAATCCAAATGTGCTGGCACCCTGACCTCAGACTCCAGAGCTGTGAGAAGCCACCCAGCCTACGGTATTTTGTTATAGCAGCTCAAGCTAAGACATGTGCGTAACAGTCTGGGTCTGTACAAAGATAGGGAAGGGCCAAAGAAGGAAGAAGGCAAGTGCAGAAGGACTTTACTGACCCTTAGGAATAAGACAAGGGGGCCAGTGCCAGAAACAAACAGCTATTTGACAGGGAGGAAGGGGAGGCTATCTAATTCCCAAGTATTTCATGCTGGTGATGCCCCTTTGCCCTATTCACCTATGTCCTAGGGTCCCCTGAGTTAGCTCCATTTTAAACACTGTAATATCAGGAAGAAATGCCCAGCTTTTAGTCTGGACTGGATTTCTTTTTTTGTTTTCTGGGTTGGGTTTTGTTTTGTTTTTTGGTTTTTTTTTTTTTTTTGATGTTTTATTTATTTTTGAGAGAGAGTGAAAGTGGGGGAGGGGCAGGAAGAGACGGGGATAGAGGATCCGAAGCAGGCTCCGTGCTTACAGCAGCAAGCTTCATGCGGGACTCAAACTCACAAACTGAGATCATGACCTGAGTCGAAGTCGGATGCTCAACCGGCTGAGCCACTCAGGCGCCCCTGGACTAGGTTTTCAAGCTGAAAACTTGCCTTTCAAGCTGTAAAAATGCCTCCTGTAAAGAGGCATTTACAGGAACCACACACTTGCACTGAGACGCCCAAGCCTGGCTGCACCCAGAAATCTCCTGAAGAGCTTTCAAAGATACTGATGGCTTCCCTTCAAGATCTGCATTCCAGTGATCTCAGGTGGTACCGGGCTTTAAGATTTTTTAAAGCTCCAGGGGAAATGCTGTTGTTCTACCACAGCTGGGAGCCGATGGCCTAGAACTGGATGAAACAAAGGAAAACCTCCTTGCTGAATGTGGGGACAGGGACTTCTTCAGCTGCCAGGATGAGGGCTTTTGGAGGCCACTCTTCTGACACCTTCAGGAACTGGTTCCCCTTTCCTTAAAGGAAAAGTGCCCTTTTCTCTGAAAACAGAAAAGAGGAAGCACACAGCACTCGTCAGCAGAACTAGCAATGCTCCCAGGGGAGGAGGGGCGCCGTCTCTTCCCGACGGGGACAGAACTACAGGCCAGCCATCTAGAACACGGGTGATGTGAGCAAAGAGTTCAGTTCCTCCTGTGCGCCGCCTCACAAGGAAGTGACCCAGACAACCCAGGTTCTGTGAAATTTCATCCCTTGGGGTCTAGAAAGCACTTCCGCCTCCTCCCCTCTCCCTCCCTCCCTCACCCCACCCCCACTTCTGTCCCAGGGTTCTCCAAATCCTGCGCTGGCTCTTCTTCACATGTCCCCACCTCCTCATTAGGCCCCTGCCCAGCACCCCCAGGCCTCTGGCCATGGCTCGGGCTCCCTGCCTCCCACACACCCCCTCATCGGTGTCGTCCCTGCCATTTCAGGGTCCTGGGCGTTCGGGTCCCTGGCCACTGCCCAGGTGAACGCTCGAGTTTTCAGCAGGACCTCTGTCGACCACCTGCCCATCTCACAGAAAGAATTGGTCCTAAGTCACCGGCCAGGTGTTGACCGAAGCACCTTCCCAGGTTTGTGACTCCCAGTCCGCTGATTATACAAACCCCACCTCCTCAGCAGAAGCTTCTGGTCTTCCTTTGTCTCACCCTGTCCCTCCCCATCACCCATGGTTCCTGGGCTTGGGGTGTCCACCCCATGCCGATGAGCCTGCCATCCCCACCTCCTCACAGGACTGACTTCGAACTTAAAACTGACTCAAACCTACTTCCTGCTCTCTTCTTCTGAAAACTCCATCTTCCTCCCACCCCCCCAGTCACACCTGCGGGCCCTGTGTGGCCATATCTAGGTCCTCAGGGCTCTGCTAGCACGTGAACTATCTGCCTCGCCCGCCTTCCTCTCTCCTCCCCCTTGATTTGATCCCTGCCCCTAGCAGGAAGCAGAAACCGAAAAGAACCATGAGGTCTGTCGCCGCACTCGCCCCACCATGCCCACCCAGGACCTAGCAGGTACCTAGGAAAAGGAAGCTGCTGTCTGAGCAGCCCAGGAGAGAAAGAACATTCTGGCCAAGAGGGACTTCCTGCTTCCTGACAAGAGTCTGCCACTCAGGCACCCCCAGGGCCACACATGTCACCCAGATCTCCGGGCCTGTCGCACCTGCCAGGTAAGGTATTTTCTTCACTGGGCACAGAGGTACAGCCTTCTCGGGGCTCCCGGGGAAGCGGGGTGCACAGCCAGGTGAACAACTGTGACCATACAGGGAGCTGACATTTGCCACGAAGCAGAAGGCAGGGAGCAGGTAAGGCGCTGAGGCGACAGGGAGCCTCTGTACCACCCAGGATGCTTCTGGCCACGGTTCCCCCTCGCCTCCCCCCTGGCCTCAGACTCTCACGTTCTCTCTGGTGTCTGCAGCTGGGTCCCGGTTCTCTACCTGCCCCTCTGCTTTTCTCTCGCTGGCACTTTTTTCACCCCTCGTCCCTCCTGCCAGCCGTCACTGCCTAACTGCACCCGCATCACCCCTTTCTCCTGGGCGTCACGGCCAGCCGCCTCCGGGACCTCCCCCCATGGCCACAGCCCCACCTCCAGCAGTCTACTCAGTAGCCCAAACACCACCGCTTGGAGCCAGCATCCTTGATTCATGCTGCCCAACCCAAGCTGCTGGGAGACCCCGTCCATTCTCTCGTCTCCTTCCTGCCCACTCCTTCCCCACCTTCCACTCCCCCTGGGGATACTGAGTCCGAGTCGCAGCCTCTCGCTTCCCCCAACCTGCTTCCTCCACAACACCCTCAGCACAACACCCTGCCCTCCCACACAGGGCCGCTAAAAAATCATCCTGGGACCCTGCCTGATAGACATTGCTGCCCATCTCTCAGAAAAACCTTCAATGGTCTCCACTGCCCACAGGACGCCGCATTCCATGATGCTCCCTCTTCCCACCCCTAACCCCCTCCACCATCCCATGTCCTCCTTCCCACCCTCCTAATCCCCACAACTCAGGGACTCCACCAAATTTCGTAAGGCCTCTGGGCTTTTGCTCCTCTCGTTCTTCCTGGAACGCCCTCTCTTTCTATTGGGTGAATGAATTCCTTCCTTTACAGCAGGATCGAGCTCTGCCTTCTCTGGGAAGACTTCTTGAGAGCCCCAAGCATCAGTGAGCCCCTCCCCAGGTAGGCATGCCTGTGGCCCTGGCTGCCTGTGGCCCTCCCTGCATTGGGCACCAGCTGCCTTGAGAGTCTGAATAGTTTCTCTGTGCACAGCCCTACCTCGATCATGTTTTCACTGAGCTGGACAACTGGCACCAGTGCTGGGCTGTACAGGACAGAGACTTTCGGGGCGCCTGCGTGGCTCAGGTGGCTAAGATTCTGAGTTTGGCTCAGGTCATGAGCTCACTACTTGTCAGTTCAAGCCTCACATCAGGCTCTGTGCTGACAGCTCAGATCCTGGGGCCTGCTTCAGATTCTGTGTCTCCCTCTCTCTGTCACTTCCCAGCTCATGCTCTGTCTCTCTGTCTCTGTCTCTCTCTAAAAATAAACAAACTTAACAAAAAAGAGACTTTCTACAGGATTGTGCTAATAGTACTTGGCGGGTTCTGGTCAACAACTTGCTGCCCCGTCCCCCTCACGGACACTGGTTTTCAGATGGCCAGAGGCCTACTCCTTCCCCTCCAACCAGAAAGTACCATTTATCCTCAGAGTTCAGCACTGAGCATCACAGGATGCACCTCCCCGCCCCAGAACAGGAAGTGAGAAAGATACCCTCTCCTCTAGGGCTTAGAGCCAAGTTGACGTGGAATTCCACAAGGGACCACGACTTCAGGAGGCAACGTCATAAACCCAACTCACCCGATTGAAGTTCTGACCAGCTCATTCCCACCCAAAGATCCCAGAAGCTCTCCAGCCTCCCAGGCCTCAGCTGATCTGTCGCCGGAGGCCTGGCAGACGTCCCTTCTGGGTCTTAAGTCAGAACCTGATACTATGCATTTGATAAATGGCCACTGATGCCGTGGGTGCTGCAGGTCGTGGTGGTTGTGTGGCTGTTGTGTGGTCGTGCAGGTGATGTGGTTGCGACTGCCGTTGTGTGCTTGTGTGGTCACTGCAGTTTGTCACAGTGAGTGCTGACGTCGGTTGTGTGGTCCCACATTGCGGTGGTTGCAATTGTCATTGTTGGGGAGTCTGCAGTCACTGTGGTTGTGAGGCTGTGGCCATTGTTGGGTGCCTGTTGCAGGTATTCTGACTCTTTCACCACAGCCTGAGGGAGAGGCCAGCGGCTGGGGAGGGTGACACTATCTCATCTCATGGCACCAGGCTGCGCCCAGGCGAACAGAAAGGAACAAGCGGAGAAATCTTCTCTTGGCTGCTGGTGACGCCCCTGCACGGCTATGCAGGCCACTTACCCAGAGCTGGGCGAAGTCCAAGCACTTGAAACCCTAAAGGGTCTCCTCTGCACACCACCACCTCTGTTCCCAAGAACACCTTCCTGTGCAGAAACATCTGCATCACCCAAAATAGACCTTGCCTCAACCCACCGCCCTGAGGTTGTCAAGCAAGCCCAGCCAGACAGTGCTGATAGCTCTCAGGCAAAAATCAAGCAAACCTCTGTTGGAGGGGACAGGCGGAAAGCCAGGTCTCACCTCAGATCAGAGTAGAGATACAAGTAGAAGGCCCAGTCTGATGCCCATCTGATGCCCACCTCTGTGATCTTAGACCCAAACTCCATATGAGACAGAGCAGGCTGGTTCAGCCCTCTAACGGGTAAGATTTGGGCATCCCCTTGCTCACCTCCATCCACCACTGTTACGAAGGCCCCATAAGTGGATTAAAATCATGCTGAGGCTATGCTGTTTCTTCAGCAAGACAGGCAAAGACACCCAGTTCTTAGTACCTGGGATGGAATTTTACATCTGCCTCAGGGAATCTGGGCCCTGTGCAATATATCCCCTCCCCTGAACTCTGCTCCCAGTCACAAATGTATTTGTTTTAAATGTATTAGTAGATAATACTCCACATGGCCCAATAGCCAAAGGCACAAAAGGGAATACAGTGAAACACACCCTCCCATATCTTTCCCTCAGCCCCCAGAGATCGCTTATGAATATACAAGCAAATATGCACATGTATCCGTATAAAGAAACAGGGCATGTGGAAAGAGGACAAGCCTTGGAGCCAGACTGCCTGAATTTGAGACCCAGCACTGCCCAATACCAACTGGTACATGACCTTGGGCAGCCTTTTTGTACCCCAGTCACCCCCATCCGCAGAGCATGACATAATCATAAAACCTTCCTCATAGGATAGGGGTGAAGTTAAACAATGCACTCACTGTAATGAATGGTCTTTTCTTTCCTTTTTATGGAAATGATAGCGCACTGCTTTGCACATAACAGTTCTACACCTTAACGTTTTCACTTCCTAGTGGATCTATAGCTCATTCCCCTGTTAGTACATACAGAGTTTCCTGGGTCTATTTTAAGGCTGCAAAATGTTCCATAGGTTCAGTGCAGTATAATTTATTCAGACAGTCTTTCTTGGGTGGACATTTTGGGGGTTTCCAAAATTTTACTCCTACAAACAATGCTTCCATGAATAACTTTGTACACACTTTATTTTGTCCAAAAGTGTTCGGATTAATTCCTAGAAGTAGAACGTTAGCCAATTGGTATATATGCTTGTTACTTTTTGCCATCCATAAATGTTGCACGGATTCAGTATCCCATAACCAACATATAAGACTTCCCGTTCCCCAGGCCTGTACCAGCAGAACATATAATTTTTTATCTTTGTTGATTTGGTACATGGAAAAAGTAAATGCTATCTCTCTGTAGTTTTCTTTTATAATATCTCTTATTACAAATAATATGGAACATCTTTTTATAAAATTATTTGTTTCCTTTTCTGTGAACTCTCTGTTCATATCTTTTGCCTATTTTCGTATTATAGAGTCATTTGTCTTATTGACCAGGGAAAGGTATTTATATGTGCTTTATGTATCACTATATTTTTCCTGGCTTAGCATTACTCTGTAGAATTCCCTCTTGCTGGTTTCCCATACATAATTCTTAATGCAATAGAAGTTATTGATTTTTTTCTTTATAGCTTTTGTATCTTATACTTTTAAACTTCTTCCCTATTCCAAAATAGTTATTAGATTACTTCTTTTTTAAAAAAATATTTTTTAATGTTTATTTATTTTTGAGAAAGAGTGTGTGAGTGAGCAGGTGAGGGGCAGAGAGAGAGGGAGACACAGAATCTGAAGCAGGCTCCAGGCTCTGAGCTGTCAGCACAAAGTCCAATGCAGGACTCAAACTAACGGGCCATGAGATCATGACCTGAGCTGAAGTGGGACGCTTAACCAACTGAGCCACCCAGGTGCCCCAAAATTACGTCTTAATCTCCCACAGTTTCTTATTGCACTTTAAAAAATTTAAATCACTAAACTTTCCTGGTATGTTTCCTGATATAAGAAGTGAGGTATAGATCCAACTTAATTTTTTTTTCCAGATGGCTACTCGGTTGTCTTAACACTATTTATTGAATAATTCATCTTTTTCCCCAATGATTTGAAATGCCACCATTATCATAAGCTAAATTCCTAATACATTTTGGTCTATTTCTGGATTTCCTATGTGGTTCCAACTGCAAGATGTCCTACACTGTTTTAATTACTGTAGTTTTACAATATGCATTATAGCACATAGGGCTACTGTCCCATGCCCTTTCACCTTCTTTTTTTCCATCTGAACTATTAGTTTCATTGGGATTTCTTTTAATTTATAGGTTTACTAAGGCAAAACTAACATTGAATATGTCATTGATTATGATGTTGATTCAGACTGAGGAGAATTCTATTCTTTCAGAAAACTATCCAATATATCAGGCTTTACAAACTTGGGGGCCTCCCAAGACCACCCTCAAGTTCAACAATTTGCTAGAAGGACTCACAGAACTCACTGGAAGCTCTTGTACTCATCGTTACAATTCATTACAGTGAAAGGATATGGATTAACGCCAGCCAAGGGAAGAGATGCCTCAGGCAGAGTCCAGGAAACTTCCAAGCACTGAGCTTCCAGGCTTCCTGGTAGACCCCTGGACAGCCCTACTGTCCCCAGCGATCACATGCACCAGTACAGAGTACTGACAGCTCGGGAAGCTCACCTGAATATCCAGAGTCTTTCTTGGAGCTCAACCACATAGACAGGACTGACTGCCCATGGGGCTGACCTTTACAGCAGAGCAGGGATAGAGTGGGTGGCATGTGGCCCAAAGCTCCTGTCCTAAATCACATTGTCCTAAACTGTTTGGTGTGGCCTGAGAGCCACCCACACACACACACAGTAAAGAAAGACATTCTTATCAGGAAGGACATTCCAAGGTCCTGGAGATTATCTCCCAGGAGCCAAGGAGAAAGGCCAGATCTCTCTTTGAGTAATGTCGGGCTTCTTTACAAGTTTTTAAATGTATTGACATGGAGTTGAGTAAAATAGTCTCTAAGGTTTCTTTTAATTCCATTTCTCTGTGGTTACTTTCCCTTTAGCATTTCTTTTTTGTGGCTATTTCCATCTTTTCTCTTGACAAAGTTAACCAATGATCTATAATTCTTTTCTTTTCCTTTTTTATGTAGGCTTCACACCCAGCATGGAGCCCACTGTGGGGCTTGAACTCATAACCTTGAGATCAAGACCTGAACTGAGATCAAGAGTTGGACACTCAGTTGACTGAGCTACCTGGGCACTCCTAGCCGACAACTTATAAATCTTGTAAATCTTATTGCTTTCTAAAAGAATTAGCTTTAGGGGTGCCTAGGTGGTTCAGTCAGTCAGTTAAGCGACCAACTCTTGATTTTGGTTCAGGTCATGATCTCACAGTCATGAGATCAAGCCCAGAGTGGAGCTCCGAGCTGAGCGTGGAGCCTGCTTGGGATTCTCTCTCCCTCTTCCCCTGCTCCTCCCTTGCTTGCTCATGCATGCATAGGTGCTCTCTCGCTCGCTCTCTCTCTCTGGCAAAATAAATAAATAAACTAAAAAAATAGAATTAGCTTTAAATTTATTTGTTAGTTACTTGTTATAATTTATTAATTATAAAACTTTTTTGTTTGTAATTTATTCATTTCTGCTTTAACATTTATTAATTCCTTCCTTCTGTTTTCCTTAGGTTTATTGCCTTTTTTTCTAACTACTTCAGTGGGATGCTTATTTCATTTTTCATTCCTGTTTAATTTTTTATTAATTTATTATTAGACTATGTGTATTAGTCAGGGTTCTCCAGAGAAACAGAATCAATAGGATATTGATTTATGTCAATATAAAAGAAATTTATTCTAAGGAATTGGCATATGCAATTATGCAGACTGAGAAGTCCTCAGATTGGCAGACAAAAAGGTGGAGCCCCAGGAGCACTGGTAGTGTCAGTTCTAGTCCAAGTCCAGGTCTAAAGGCAGAAGAGGATGATGTCCCAGCTCAAAGACAGGCAGGCAGAGAGAAAGAATTCTTTCTTAGCCTTTCATCCTACTCAAGCCTTCAACAGACTGGATGGGCCCGTACTGGGGAGAACAGTCTGCCTTGTTCAGTCTGCCCATCCCTGTGTTAACCTCACCCACAAACACCCCACAGAAACACTCAGAATAACATCTGACCAAATAGCTGGGCCCTATGTGGGCCCTGACCCTATGGCCAGGTCAAGTTGACACATAAAATCTCACTATGCATTCCTCTCTGGACACTGCTTTAATTATATCTTTTATGTTCTGATAAGTAACGTTTTCACTATTGATATTTCATATATAATCGTTCCATTCTGATGTCCCTTGTAGCTTATAGCAGGGATGTGGATTTTTAAAATTTTTTTTAATGTTTATTTATTTTTGAGAGAAAGAGACAGAGTGTGAGCGGGAGAGGGGCAGAGAGAAAGGGAGACACAGAATGAAGCAGGCTCCAGGCTCTGATCTGTCAGCCCAGAGACTGAAGTGGGGCTCGAACTTACGAGCAGTGAGATCATGACCTGAGCCAAAGTCGGACACTTAACCGACTGAGCCACCCAGGTGCCCCTAATAAGCAGGGAGGTTTTGCTACTAAATTTAGACTTAGCCATAAGTACAATGACTTGCCCTTTTGTATAAAGTTGATCTGATTCTCACAGGCCAATACAAAGATGAACTGGGACCTCCTCAGGCCCAGAATATTGCTTTGAAAAGATTCCCTCAGGGGATGCCTGGGTGACTCAGTCTGTTAAGTGGCTGACTCTTGGTTTTGGCTCAGGTCATAATCTTATAGTCATGGGATAGAGCCCCATATCGGGCTCTGCGCTGAGCATGGAGCCTGCTTAAGATTCTCTCCCTCCCTCCCTCTGTCCCTCTCTCCCTCTCTCCCTCTGCCCCTCCCCCACTCACGTATCCCCCTCTCTCTCAAAAAAAAAAATTTAAAAAAAAGAGGATTCTCTCAGAACTTGAAAAACCTCATTTAAATATCAATGGAAACACGTACCTTTTTGCCTTAACAGGTTTCTTAATAACCAAGGTCAAGAGTTCCTCTGATGCATCTAAAAGGGGAAAAAAGAAGCCATCGTTTCTCTTATCCAAATGATCATAAATAAAAATATTATTAACAAAAATTATAATAGCTATCATAATGCCACCTAAAATATGTGTCCAGTGTTTTATACATGTCCTCTTATTTCGTTTTTGCAGGAGCTCTCAGAGATATTATACTCTACATCTTAGAGATGAGAAAACTCAGGCTCAAAGGGGATACATAACTTGCTTAAGATCACACATCTTTTTAAGCAAAGGAGCTAGGATTTCACACTGGTTGTTTCTGATTTAACACTACAGGAAAGCCAACACTACTGAGTCCATCGTTTGCCCCCTATCTGATTCACTGACCCCCCACCATGTGCTCCAGGCTCCCTACGAGATTCATATGCATACCTTAAAGTGCCTACCAAGGCTGAGATGGAGGGAAGCTTGCTTTGGTTCTCTATAAGTTTGCTAAAGATAACGTATCTCGCCTCCCCTTGATACCCAGGTGGTGCCGCGAGATCTAATTAAATGTTAGATGTCAATTAGGGGCATGCAAACCCTTTGGTCTCACTATAATGCCCTTCTCCACATTCCCTCGTTCTATAAAGTCTGTAGATTAAGGTCCAGACTTTGCAGAGAATAACTCTGCAGCTGGATCACCATCTGCCTGATCCCCACTCCCTCCGCCCCCCCTCCCACCCGTCATCAATAAGTTACCCTGAATAAAACCCTACATAAACTGTGTGGTGTAGCCTCCTTCATTTTTCGTCCTCAAAGTACCTTCTCAGTTTGGGGAATACTTTACAGTCCCTCCCCCACCTTCTAACAAAAGCATATACATTTTGGGGCAGATGCCTCTCTTGTCCTCCCTACCAATGGTAACAATAAGATGGTTCTACCTCCTTTGGCAAAACTTATTTTCCAGGCAGAGAGAGGACGTTTGCTATAATCCACCATCGATTAAGGAGAAGTCCAGCCCAGAATTCTGGAACAGAGACAGGCAGGCCACCAGCCATGGCAGGCCTTTGCCTGCAGAAGCCATATGGATGAAGAAAATTCTGAGCCAAGCACTAATGAAGAGAAAGGAGAGAGAAGTCAGGGCGGGGGCTGAGGGAGTGGGGCTTAAGCACAGCTGCTTTGGGAGGGGGACACTGACCATGGAGCTTGTGTGTGCTGGACACACTGGTCACTCATGCCACACCCATCCAGCTCAACCCAGCCATCTGGCAACTGCCCTTTAATGCAACGAGCAAACGACTTGCTATGCTGAAGGTTTCAGTTAGTGTCGCTGGCCAAGTCTCAGGCGGGAACCAGAACAGACAACCATGTGGGGGCTGGAGGCCCCGGGAGCGGCAGCCAGAGCCCACTGGCGCGGCTCAGAGCGCCTGCCAACTGGGCGCATTGTCAGAACGCTGCTGCGAAGAGATAAGGAACGTCCTGATCCAGGCCTAGAAGAGCAGAACTTATATAGCAGCCTGTGTAGGCTGCAAGGGAATGTCCTGGCCCAAGGCCTCCCAAGCCCAGGCAGAGAGGGGAGTGGGTGGGTGAGAAGCCGGAGCTTATAAATAACCTCGTGTGTGGCTGCTGGGCTCAGTGGCTGCTGGGCTCCGTGGCTGCATCTTACCAACGCCTGAGATCTTGGGGAGGAGGGGTCACTTACAGATCATTTTTATCTTCTTTATACTCCCCTATGTTTTCCAAGTTTTCCACAATGAACTTAAGCTCCTCTTACAGTCAGCAAACATGAATACGATTTTTAAAAAGTGAAAAAGAGGGGCACAAAAGGAATTCCTTCAGCTAGGAATTCGGGTGACCATCTTCCCCGTGCTTATGAGTCCCCAGTCCTGGACCAGTCGGTCCTCTCCCCTCTTGTCTGGTCTCTCCCGGAGAAGCCCTACAGGCGCTTGCATGGACCTGTCTGCCCTCTCCTCCGGGGTCCCTGCAATCCCCTTAACTTCCCCGCCCCCACCAGTTCACATGTCCCTGTTCTTGGCTTTGTTGTCTTCAGATAAGGCGGCCTTGTTCCTCATCTCCACCTGGGTGCAGAAAGGTCACTTAAGTATGTCTGTCCTGCCTGCTGTCTGGCCTCCTAACACTAGCTTAGTGATGGAGCAGGGAGAGAGAAAGCCATGATACTCCTGTACAGAGAATGTGCACTTTGTGCCTCAGACTCCTTGTCTGTAAAACGGAGGTAATAATAGCACCTGTCTCATAGAAATGTTATTAAGAATAAAATAAGACAGGGGCGCCTGGGTGGCTTAGTCGGTTAAGCGTCCGACTTTCGCTTAGGTCATGATCTTGCGGTTCATGGGTTTGAGCCCCGCGTCGGGCTCTGTGCTGACTGCCAGCTCAGAGCCTGGAGACTATTTCAGAGTCTGTATCTCCCTCTCTCTCTGACCCTCCCCTGCTCACGCTGTCTCTCTCTCTCCTAGAAATAAATAAAAATATTAAAAAAAAAAAAAAGAATAAAATAAGACAGTGAATGCAAAGTGCTTGACACATTAGAAAGGCCCAGATTACCAGTCCACCAGTGGCCTCTTTCTCCACACCCACCCACCCCCTGAAGGACCATTCTTACCAAACTTGGCCAACATGACTTTCATTGTTTCCAAAAATAACTGCTCCCAGGATGTGTGAGGATTCACCATCCTGACACTGGCACTGATTCAAAGCAGGAGTTTTAAAAATGCCTTTGCGAGATGGCAGGCTTCTTGGAATAATAGCCCTCAAAGTGCCTCCTTATAAGGCAGAGGCCTCATTTGGACGTGTGAGTCATGGTAGGGCTGCTAGATAAACAGATAAAGGAATAAACACGTTACTTTTCGACCTCATGTAGTAGGCTGAGCTCAGTTCAAGACCCTGGGGCAACAGTGAGGAGACAAAAGTAGGTGAAATATCAGCCGATCCCGATTTTTTGAGCAAGTGCTATGTGCAAAGAGGCCTTGTGCTAAGATTTGAAAATGAAACAAAAAACAGATATGAAAATTCTCTGCTGTGAAAGAGAGGCCAGTCTAGCTGAGGAAGTAAAATGCAGATTCAGACAGAAAGCTCACTCAGCAAACACCTTATGATCCTGGTAGGTGATAAGGTGGGGAGTCTGGAAGAGACTTCCCGCTGGGTTCTGGAGGTCAGAGCAGGTCTTGTGGAGAAAAGGAACATCATTGACAAGTGGGTACCAAGCCTTGTAGATCCCGAGGCAATCAGGTTGGTCTGAGAGAAAGGATCCCGCTCGTTAACGTCAACAGGCATGGCGCTCACCTAGGTAAGCTATCTTGTTTGATCCTGACAACAGTATTGTACAGAACAGAAAACAGCAGCTCAGAGAAGCCCAGGGAGGTAAAGTTATCTGCTGAAAGTTACAACAGCAGGCGCAGAATTGAAATTATGTTCTACCCGCTCTGCAACCTATGTTCTCACTTCCATCACCTGGCATTTTGCTGAGACCTCCCTTAAAGCTGCCTCCCAAGACATGGGCTGTATGGGACCAGCGATGGGGCTCTTATTCCAGGGCTGTGGCCTCCCAACAGAGAGGATGCTGCCCAGAGTGGCTAGCCAATTCCTTGGAGATATATCAACAACATATATCTTATGTCAATATCATAAGAGAAGACAGGATGACGTCTACCCCAGATCAAAATAACAATTTTGATGACATTTTATAGTTCTAAGTATGTAAGCCCCTCCTTCCACTTACTAGTATTTTTCCCAGTTCAGAAGTTCACCCCTTTCATCACCACAACCCATAATGATCAGCATGAACTTTTCAGGAATGACACAAGAACAAGATAGGAATAATCTACCAAAGGTGACCTTTGCCCCCAGTTTTAAATCATTCTTCGAGGATTTTTGTGACATAAAAAACAGCACCTCCCAGTCAGCATTGGAAAATTCCTCAGGTGCACCTGGGTGTGGCCGATACTATCATCCAAAGGGCCGACATATCTAGCATCCATGCCCTTTGGTGTTATGCCCAAAGTCAACCGACACCAATATTACACAAAACCTAAGTATCACATTCCTGAGGGCATCAAACAGTAATTATTGAGCGCCAGGCTCATGGTTGGTTCTTAAAACCAGGTTGAAATTACAATCCAGTAATTCTTAATCACAACTCAGTCTATAAAACTATATCCTAATGAAAGACGATGGGATAGCTCCTGAAAAGAATAGTGTTATCAACTGTTACGACACCCCCCAAATCCATACGTTGAAATCCTAATCCCCGATATGACTATATTTGGAGATAGAGACTTCTAGGAATTAATTTGGGTTAAGTGAAGTCATAAGGGTAGGGCCCTGATTCCATAGGACTGAGGTCTAATAAGAAAAGAAAAGGACTGGCCACCTTTTTGTCTGTCTGTCTGCCTAAGCACAGAAAACAGTCCATATCCAGAGGACCCAGCAAGAAGATGGCTGCCGGCAAGCTGGGAAGACAGGTCCCACCAAAAACCAACCCAAATCGCTCCGGAGCTGTGAGAAAATGCCCTTCTGTTGTTACGCTCTCCAGCATTTTGTGATGGCGGCCTAAGCTAATGCAAACAGGAACTCAGGCTGTAAGGGAGTCATAAAACCAGTACCCAGGGAATCAGGGCAGGGGACAGGGGACAGGTCATGGCAAGTTGGTCACAGACTTCCGCTCTTCTGCTGGGAGCAGTGTTGGAGAGAGCTCGAACCAAATACCATTCCTCTTCCATGAATTTAGTAATACTAAACCTGATCCTGCCTACGCTCTCTGGAGGCAGGCAGATTCTGAGAGTCAAGGAGGGACTGAGTCAGGTACCCTCAGTGCCTTTTCCCAAGCTCATTAAATTGTTCAACTACAAGGGAGGAGAGAGGAAGGGGCAGAGAGAAGTCAAAAGGGTTACCCTAATCAAACTCCCTCCATCTGGAAACATGGAGGGGAAAGAAAGTTCCTTTCAACATTCGTCCTACTTCCATTCCAGGCAAACACATACCCTTCTTCAAGTCTCCCCAAAACAGTACGATGTGTGTCTGGCTTCACAACTTGCGTAGAACCTCCCCTTATTACACACATGCACATACACACACACATACTTATGCAATCTCAGAACGCGTTGCACATGGAAGGTGGAAATGTCCAGTTGCAGAAACTGGGTGAGCTGTTTTGTGGCCCGAGCTCAGAAAGGAACAATAAACATGTGTTGAGCATGACCTGCACCCTTACAGCAGTCTGAATCCAGTCACTTCCTCTTTTGCTGGAAGATGGGATCATTCATTCTTTTTTTTTTTTTTTTTATTCAACAGATATTTGCTGAATGTTTATTATGTGCCAAGCATTGTGCTAGGCTGATTGATCCAAAAAACAAGAAGCCAAGAGATGTTGGCAAACAGCAGCCCTAAACCGGTTATTTGCCCAGGACACCTATGCCATAGTCCTTGCCTCCTCCCCAGCCCTCAACCTCTTTATCCAATCAAACACCAAGTACTGACAGCCTATTCCTAATATATCAAAATCCCTTTACTTCTTCCCATCCTCTCTGTGCTTCCTCGGTCTAGGCCATCATGCTCTCTTCCTTGGATTTCTGCAGCACCACTTAGTTGGTTTTCCTGTTTTCAGACTTAACTCTCATCCAACCTAACTACCACACCACAGTGCATAGTAATAAATTTGGCCCCACCTAGGGAAAGATCTGCCTTCTGTCTGTGTTCCTGGCAGGAAATCCCTAAACTTGCCATTTTCACAGCAAGAGGAGTATCTTTGTTATTCGAGGTTGTCCCCTCACTTATGCTAATGAGATGAGTCAGGATGGGGCTAGCCAAGTCTGAAAGACCAAGCAAGTGATTGTGGTTGGGGCTTTGGGCCACGTGACAGCCTGACCTCCAGGGAGGGGAAGTAGCCTGGAGCTTGAGTTCAGCCCTGTGGGTTATTATGCAATCAACCATGACTAGGTAATGAAGCTTCAATAAAAACTCTGGGGGTGCCTGGGTAGCTCAGTTGGTTAACTTGGTTAAGTGTCTGACTCGTGGATTTCAGCTCAGG